GGAAACGCCATAACGTCAACAGGACTTCACAGACTTAACCCACCACCATAAGTTGACAGACTGTGTGAATGCAAAACGTGCAGCCAAATGGCAAATGATCTTAACTGTTTAATCTGATTGCCTTATACTTAGTTTGCAGTTCAGTCAAGTTTGACAGAAACTGAAAAAAGGATGAAAATATCACAGAGTAGTTTCACTAAATGAACAGATTCACTATGTCAGATAATCATTTTAAATCAGCCGGTACATTCCAGTAGTGCTTAGACGTCGTTGAGCATGGAGTGTTTCATTTCTTCACGCATTTGTTTAAGGACTTTTAAGTGAAATTGTACTAATTCATAGGATAGCAAATTACTGTTATGATTCATTTGGCATTCAGTAATTTATTTCCTTTCATGGGATATAGTCATCGTGCATGGAGTCCGCCAGTTTACCGCCCATAGGTTTAGCACACGTTATAAAGCGCATTCTCGCGAATCTGCAAGAAAGGTTGTTTATAGGCGAGCCTAATGAATTGGCATTGACAAACATTGTGCGCATTTCTTGTCCCACAACCTTTACCTTTATATCAGAAGCACATGACAATCATCTGCGTTTTAGGATTATTCTTCCATCTGACTTCCTGTTATCTCTAAATGCCAAGGCTCTCAAATTCAACAAAACATGTGGTCACGCAAAGGAAAACGGTTCTCATGAATTACGTCACGGACTGTTTAATGTGAATGGATAATGTGATATCTGCTATCCTCAGAGTAGGGGATAAGCAAGGATAAAGTTTAACTGATTTTATTCGCCTCTTGCTAGAGGGTTTCCATGCTTCCAAAGAGAAACAGTTCGTGCCGAACTGCTAGGACGCTCAAGTGCTCTATGCATAAATTAGAATGTAGGTCTATTGAAGGGTGCGGACTATCATGTCCATGCGTTGACTGCGTGCCACAAAAGGCTGGGGTGAATAGACGAACCACAAAACGCACAGATGTTTATCATTGTGGAAAAAGTTTCGACGTTTGGTCCGCCAATTCATTTACATGCGTCGAAATCGATGCAAAACAACTGTAGTACTTCATACTATTCGGTTTTTGCAACCGGGGTGAGGAGAGTTTTGCCGCACACCTGTGTGACATGCATCCAACTAACAGGTATTAACTTCCAGGATGATTGAAATCTTGCACTACATGCGAGCCACCGATACCGTAAGTTATCCACCCCAGAGTCACAATGAGTCCGGGGAAACGAAGAATCTGATGGACAGTTAGACTTGGTAACTGAAATTCATCGTTACTATAAGTTGCATCCTTAGTAGCTTAGAACCTTTCTGTGTTGTGGGCCACTGTTTTGGTTTCGTTATCTTCCGTCCTCCATCGCACTAATACGATTTATTTGTGGTTTTAAAAAATGGATTAACAAGCGGGAGTGGAGTATTTCGCACAAGTATCTGTCAAATCTAGGCATTCTCAGGCTAAATCTCCACAATCCTGCTAACCGCCGAAGTGTCAACCCGTGGAATAATAGCATGTTCCTACACATGGGTATCACAGGTTTGTAGCAGTCAAAGATGAGTGATCTAGTTGAGCACCTGCGTACACAAAGGAAGTCGAGTCAACTGAGATCGTTGTCTGGAATTATATCTAACCTGAATCTGCTCTACTTTCGACAAATGTGATCACCAGTGCAGGTTTACGAGCGGACACACCGCGTTTTTGTAATGACCCTCACTGTTTGATCAAAGCAATTACTCATGCGACAATACGTTTATTACATGTCACCTGTAGTTCGACGACTACTTGGGCACGATACCCAGCGGATGGCAGACGGCTTGGCAATTTGATGTGTTTGGTAAGTTTTTGCTTATGGAACTATCCAACATATAGTCCATGCCAACTCACTACTCATTAAAGTGAAAAGGAACCAATCCACCTTCAAGAATATGACAGTTTAATGGGAGCTAGTAAAACCACAGAGAAAACCTACTCTCCTGTAAAATTGAGCCAATAGTGATTGATTTCTATAAAAAATAATTCTTGTTTCTATGCCTGCGATTTTTTATACCACGCCTAACAAATCAAATGCAGCGAACGCAGTTTCTGTTATGGAACTCTTCTTGTAACGGACGGAATGAGAAACGTAACACATAACCTAATTGATCTCTTTTGATGGCAACTAGTTCCCATGTATAAGGAGATACACTGATTGGAAGTGGTTGCAATACAATAGAGAATAGCAAAGCAACCTTTGCTTTCCTCTTAGATCAAAAAGTTTCTAGGTTTATCCACCTATCACTGGTACAAAACAAAACAAATGTTAGCACCTAAGTTGATCACTATTATAGCGGTGGAAATATTCGTAAAGCAGTTTTTAAATCAGTTCGAGAAAGCGGTTGATAACTATAGGGTTGCTTTTGCAATGAAATGGTAGGTTACGTCCCTCCACACTGGCGGTGTGATAGAAGTAATATCAAAATCATCTGATAGTGATTTTGAAAGGAGAGGAGTATCCAGAGACTAAACTCGTGTTGCTAATCCCACTCAACTTAATAAAATATGAATGCTTACCATTGCAGACACAATTAGTTGAAGAACAAGGAGTGGTGACTGAAGCTATGTCATCATGCATACAGATGGCTTTGAACCACAAGTTCTGCTAATCTTCAACATAAAATACAAACATTAGCCACATATGTGTGGAAGAATGAAACCCTGATCCTTGGATGACTTGCCCTGCAGACATCTCATGTAATGGCTAATACCTGCCTGATGTGGTGCCCCAGGAACAGGTGCATCATCAAGCGAGTTACTGCCCGGTTACACTAGTCACGATAAGACGCAACGTACTACAAGCAAAAGTTGTATGCATGTATGTATTTGTCCAACCGTACCTCTTAAGCATGCCATCTGTGGAATGTCTCACCGTCCATCAGAGCATATAAACCGAACTGCCGCGATTGACCAAATGAGAGAAGCGCTTTTCGTCCTCATAGTTTGGCCGTGTTCATCAGGACACGTCAAGCATATGAAGAACAAACAATCAACTCCATCGGTAGAACTGACTGATGTTTTACATTAAACTGAGCCATTTATACCGTATCGTTTGTGTGCAATAAAATTCGCAACTTCAGTGACGTTACACAACAGGAATATGGCCAAAAAGTAAGCCGTCGTCATTTGTCAAAAAGTTTTGAGTGCCAAAGTCCACATGATTTAGTGAGTTATATTCATGTTGGCTGCTGAATGCATGTTAGTTTGCAATCCATTCGTTATAAGGGAAAAAGTTCCATTGTAAAAGGTGACAGGCATCATGTCACCTACATCCGCAGCATGAGCACATCAATGAATCGTTTCCCGCATTTCTGTTCACATGACGGTAGGTTAATTTTGTGGGCTCTCATTTACATTAGTTAAACAATTCACGGAAACCGACTGGTTTTCTCAAGCATGCTTGACCACACAGAATCATCATCAATTTGTGTTGAGGAAACTAAACAAATTACTTGTACCCAACCACTAAGTGAAATAGACTTTTATAAACTTTTATACTTTGTGTACCCATTCTTTTCCGCTCGCGTTGATATCCTTCACATCAACCACGCTAGTAAATATTGACCATAACCCGACGCAGCGCAAACCTGACCCCATAGTCGAAAACCCTCTTCACCCACTAAAATAGCAGCACGGTTATTCGTAATCTTGCACTTGTTTACCATTCGACTTTCCAGACCATTAGGCCGCAAATGTTTTATTATGATGATCAACAGGGAACACTTCTAGAGCAGGACAGAAGCATGTTCAATGGCCTGGGTAGACCAGATGCGCAAGGGAATGACCGTGTAATTTCCTAAACAAACCCAAGGCCGACCGTGTCAAATTTGACCCGATTGCACTAAAATAGATTAAAAGCTTTTTATTCGAAATGATTCACGTTCCAAGGGTGTGGTTATCACTAGAACCATTCTTTGGCCCTTTACTTGGTGATAAACGAACGTAAGGACAGCGTGCTCCAATAAGACATTAGTACAAGATGTTATGAAAGTTTACATAACACCACAAATTGTCATCAACTGTGTGCGCAGGTCTTAATCAAAATGTTCAGCGTTTCATAAAGAAACGTCAAAGGCTTGTTGCTTCTGTCAATCGCTTCTGAATTGAATGTGAATCCTTGCTTAGCATAAGCTAAATTATGAAGTTAATTTTCAGCTTCATTTTTCATCTCATATGGTGTATTCTTAATTTGTTTCTTGCTCAATATATTTCATCGCTTTATGAAACTCAGAAATATTCGGTTCACCTTAAGAGCTGACCAGAGTCACATGACGTGATCTACTGCACACCTTAATACCCAGGTGGAGCATAGCAGACAATCTATCAGCTCGAACTAATGATACCAGGTAAAGGGTTGAATTCAACTGCATAGCAGAGCCAGTGTTAAGGCTTCGTGGTCCAGTGTATGGAATAGTAAGCTGCAGGTAAGTAAGCAAGTGTTAAGAGTTAAATGATAGTTGACTATGTTGGACGGGCTTGCATCTGTTTCCCGAATCGACTCGCCGCCCCAGTTCTCTAAGTCATATGAAGGTTACGCAACGTCAGTCCAATCGGAAGGGAACGATGCTTTTCAATGTAATATATTATCACTCGACTCGACAATCCGAAAGTGCCATGCGCTGGATCAGCTTGAAAGCTCTATCTCACTGCATATATACAACCATTAGTCTGTGAGATTATTTTAAATCATTCAGTAGTTGGCGATAGTGGAAATAAACGTTGTCCCTATAGAGTGCCGCGCAGTAGCTTAGTACCTTATTCTCAAATAGGCTAAATTTCAACAAAACTGTTCTAATAACTATGTAACTAGTAACGCTCACAGTCGTAAATTAATGCTCGCCCACTGCCCAATGCTAAGCGCTTGAGTACGGAAACCACATCTGCCATGCCACAGTCTCAGTCTTCCTATGAAATGGGTGCCATCTGGCGCCCTTTTGAGTTGTCTACATAAAAATGGTCACAAATTCAATCAATCGCATTATGATCTGAAGAATTCATAAAAGTTGCATATTTTACCCACAGGGACTCACACCACTTCTCTTCCGAACTCTTGGAATGCGAGGAGGATGCAGAACGGTGCAGCTAAAAGTCACAAATGGGTTAGAACCCCATTGAGTATGGTTAGTAAAGGCTTACCAATTTTCCAATTTTGTGAGACTGGGAATTAGCGCTACCGGATTTCGTACTTGATTTTTGACTTTTGTCCTTGGAACTGGACATTGCTTTGGTAACCAGTTATCCTTATCGCACGTTCCCTTTGGAGTTCCGACCCAAGTGCTTGAACCTACTGTTCCCCAGGTGCTGTCTACTTCCTCTGTGCACCAAAAGTAACCTTATGGAGCAGAAATTTGAGGCATACTTGTCACAACCACACCCTAGTATACGAATACACTTTCGTGAGTTATTCAGCCAATCACAGCCCGGCATATCAAAGCATCACCAATGCAGGTGCGCTTATCCAACTGATCAATAACATGCGAAAGCTTGATCGACTGGTGCTCGTATCGCTTCCGTGGATTAGTCGTGAGCGCATTCAACCACATTGGCTGGATGTCGAACAACCCATTCGATTCGACGCTGTGTGGTCATGATAAATAGCGTGCCACTAAACGGATCGTAACGAATTTGTTAGAGGGAGGTCGGAGAGATTTGTGCATTCCTGTGGATGAATTCCTTACCATAGTGCACTAAGAAATGGAAGCACCAGGCACTATTGTTAGTCAAAACTAATGTTGTGAATTGTTATTGATTAATGTGAGTGAACTGGTAACCCACAATGGGTTTTTGAGCGACACGCCGTAGCTCTATTACTTACGAGCTAGGGCCTTCTCATTTTCAGTGATTATCCCACAACCGCAACACGTTGTCAGACATTCTCAGCCTTGAAACAATAGCAATAACAATACGATTCAATAAACAGCCTTTTGCTGAATAATAATACCACTCCAGTGCGAAATGCAAAGCGGATTAAGGCACTAGGCTGGGGCAATCGGATGATGAGTTCACAGGGCAAAAGCTGGGTTGCATTAACTAGAAAGGGTGAAAGGTGTTAATGAACAAACTCCGATGATTGTTAAGAACTTGCGAAATCATGTTAACATGACATATCTCGATTTAAAAACTACTTTAATGTTGTGTTTATTTTGACAAATTTTCATTTCATTTGTAGCTGGACAATGTAAGATCCCGAACTGGTGTAATCCTTGTGTCAGGAACAGTAGCTGAAAGCAGCTTGGACAGACTTTAACCATACTGTGATTACACAGGTAGATAAATAAACTTCATATCATAATCTTTATCTGAAATGAGAAAAGTTCCGGTTAATACTACTGAATCAGTGAGTGGCATCTGAAAGCCCATCCGGCATGCTTTGTTTTACTAGGAAATAAGCCACTTCAGTGCTTTTCAAAACCCAAAGCCTCTGCATCCAGTTCTATACCCAAAGTGATAGAAGTAGCGTTAATTTCGGAGTACTATGTGGACAAGTTCATAGCAGGCACAGTAAAGACATTACCAAACCTTAGTGTTATGGCATGTGAAGCAAAATTGTAGCCAGGTAAGTGACCGATTTCAGGTGATCATGGCAACGCAAACATCTCAAGGGAGTCAGCGCGCTTTATTTTTCGAGAAATAGTAGTTGCATGATCGCTTGTGCTGTAACTTTTACCAAGACAATGTACCTAGAGGGTTTCAAATGTAAGTGTATGAGAAGCAGTATGGATTTTTGTAATCAACGGTGTATAATAAGTGAGAAACGTCATAATAATGAACAAAGCATTTATACGGGTTAAGAAGCACTGCTTTCTAAATTCCGTTGGATACATTGTTGTTGTCAAAAAATAATAATAAAACAGTACATGCTTTAAGTATGAAAGGAAGGACTTATCGTTTTTCCGCTGTTGTCCTACCATTCCAGCACCCGCATGTAACATCGAATAAGTCAAAGGTAGATTCCAAGAGTAGGATGGAGACAGTTCCAAGTAACCAAGTGTAAGTGAATAAGTACGTCATCCAACCGACTTTTAAATATTGTTAGTGTCGGTGTAGGGAGAGCATTCTACAAGTGACATACACGAATGGAAAACTACATTCTGAGGTAGTTCAAACGGTTATACTCTGCTGCGACTTTAAATGAGTGACCCCTCCGGTTAGGTTTCTTGACCCCTTGCATGGAGCGAATGGAAGTTAAGCTCATATGTAGATCGAATTCTTCATGAATTGAAACCAATTCATTTGTTTTATTAAGACGTTTACCCAAGTTGACAATTAACAATTGAACTGTGATAGTCTGCAGGTGCTGCGACCGCGAAGTGTTTTACATACAACAGAAGGACCAAACGCTGTGCTACAGTATCCCATACATTGGATACGCCATTGCCTTTTAAATAAGACAGTGTCAACAAAATAAGTTAAAATTCCAGGATCTATCATAGGGTTCATACGAAGACACCCACAGGAGTCTGCCTGAAACTGAATATAAAAGAATAGTGAGAAGTTGCATTTGCGCAATGAGGTACGCTCCGAAATAATGAAGATCAAAATACAATCAACTTGTTTTAAAGTGATTAAATGCAAGGAAGAGACAAACGATGCAGGAGAGGCATCCTAAATCTGCCAATTTCAATAGAAAAACATTCAATCGACTTCCCGATCATTTGTGACTGCTTGCTCCCAGCCTACTATCGTAGTTGGGCCAAAAGGTTGTGAGTGACTCGCACATCGTTGGTTGTACTGTGGGACACGACTGAGGGACGAAAGTACAATCCTCGGTACTCTTTGGGCATCATGCCCGAGATGTTACGTTGCATGATTAATATTCTCGACATTCTTAATCGTCCTTAATCGTGACTTTTTGAAAGCAAGTGTGTGCTGTTGCGATTCTAGTAAAAAGACGCAAATGTCGGGATAGCATACAGAAAGTATCGAGCATTAAAAAGTGAGAGAAGAATTGAGTTCCAACACAGTCATAAAGATTCTGATATTATGGATGCCTACTGCATATCAGAATATCTTTAAGCAGTTTTCAAATTTCAAACTAGAGCAAAAATTCGGAATACGGTATGACGTATAGTTGGAAGATTTAGATGAGTAACAGTTCAGTTTGTCACCAGTCACCGGTGACACATGCGATTGAGCTGAGGCGAAAGCAGCGGATTTAGATAATCACTAATGTGCAGCTGAAACTTAAAAATGCAGCGCTTTATCAACGAACAGTGAGAATCCATGGAGAATATACGCCAGAATGAAAAACTGGCAGGAACGAAACCTGACGATGGGATCAGGAGTGATACTTGTGGAGAAAATAATCTAATCTCCAGAAAATATAGGCAGCTCTTGCAGATTTTAACAGCTTCGTATCACAGGCCCATTTGGAAACGGCAATAAAACAATTTCAACAGTTACTATCCTAAAAATTACAAACAAACATTGATTCGCACTGCTTTCGTGAGAGCTCGCAACATTTGTTGCTGGGACGTGTGTCATCGATAATACAGATGAATGCGTACTCTCTGTGATCCATATCCAGGTTTGCAAGCGCAGGAGGGAGGAAGAACGAATTGTTAGGTATTCCAAAAGAGAAAAGAGTTCACCACGTTACCATTTAAAGGGGATCAACAAGATAGAAGTTTCTGGAACAACCCCTGCCGGCCCGTAATGCTATTATGTTGCCCAACTTATGTTATTGCGCCGAGTTGGGAAGTCGCTCTGTACATCCAAAATAGAAAAGCTACAACGTCATGCTTTCACCTATTTTGTACCTATTTTACTGTTTTCTGGTAGCAACTACGTTCGTTGAACTAAGAGGAGGCGGCCTAATAGGATTGCAGTGCCCATTCCACGTAGTATGGTCGCCAACGGTCCCAAACTGCCGGCTAGCACTATTGCGCAGCGCATCCTAGACTGCACTTTGTGCCGGAGTCCACGTGATCCGCTCGAAGTAGCTACCTGATGGAGCAATGACCGTTTCCTTTAGTTAGCCGAAGCTTCAGTTATTCGTTGGCTGTAACTCAATTTGTGAAATCAAGTCACATTACTGGTAGTTTTTCTTCGAACTGCATGATGTTGCACATTATTTCTTTCGTATACAACGTGATAAAGTTGCGGAAATTATATAGACAGCTGGGGAGGATAGTTAAAATACATTAATTCAGCGTATTCTATCAACATCTTTTTCATATTGGTAAGGTCAAACCTATCTAAGGCGACCACGCAAGAGACCGAGAAAATGTGGTCGCCTTGGACCGGTGGTCGACATGAGTAGATTCATCCAAAGGGACATTACTCATGGGAGAAATCGTAGGGAAAGCTTTTGGCTGGTCATCAGAGACTAGTGGTCGCCATGCTGTGTTGGACTGCATTTTGGCTTTTGCAAAGGTAAAACGCTGCAGGAGACTTCTAGAAGGCCAGTTATTTCTGGAAGGCCCTCTTTAAGCTCCATGGGCTGAATAGTGCCACGTTGTTCTTAACTAAGTTTTTGACACACTCACTCACCATCTAGATGATAAGCTGAAGCTTAGCCGTTAGAGTTGGCTAGCAGAATTACTGGTTCCTGTGCAATATTTAGATGCGCACAGAGCAAATCGTGTTGGTGTATCATGATTGGGAAATACGAAATATCACGCGCACACGGAACTTCCGTCTGCTTGCTGCTATACAATGAACAATGCATGTATACGGCTTAAGTAGTGTTGCTTTACAAGTCCCGTTGGATAGCTGGTGGGGATATCGACATGACAATAATAATAATAATAATAATAATAATAATAATAATAATAATAACAATAAATGCAAAACAGTTAGTACTTTAAATATGAAAATAGGAACTTATCGTTCGCTCCGCTGTAGTCGTGCGATCCGCCCAGATTCATAGGACCCACAGTTAACATAAAATTATTCCATGGTAAACCCCAGGTGTAGGATGGAGACGTAGTGTTAAGTAACAAAGTGTAAGTGGATGAATGCGTCATCCAGCCGTCTTTTAAATACTGTTAGTGTCAGTGCGGTAACGATCGATTCTGGGAGAGCATTCCACGGGTGACAGACACGAATGGAAAGGAAATTTCTACCGCACTCCAGGCGGCTATACTGTACAGCGAATTTCAATGAGTGGCCTCTCAGGGTTGTATTGGTACTGAGTCGCAGTAAAGGGTGGCACACATCATGCGGGTCTCGCAGAATCAAGTATGTCATAATCAGGTCTTCTCGTAGTCTGCGATAGC